TTGAACTCAGACGCTTGGCGTTTGCCAGGCAAGCGCTTATTCTACTGAGCCATCTCCCCGGCCCTCTCCTCAGCTTTTGAAAAAGGCTCTCAATCTAGTTGCCCAAGCTGAATCTGAATTGCACTCCTCCTGGCTCAGCAATCAGAGTAGCTGGGATTACAGGCATGCAGCACCACACCTGACTTCCCTCTTTCTGGTTCCCAAGTCTCATACCTCTGCTCCGGTAGCCACATCTTCGGCAGCTCCAGACATGACCCCCAGGGTGTAGAAGGAGAAGACACACAGTTCCCGGGTACAGACAGCTGGCTGCACAGATACATGCAACAGACTGTGAGGGTGTGGGCTGTAGCGAGGCAGGACCTCTGACTTAGCCAAATCTAGAGCAAGGCAGAAATGCAGGGCTCTGCCAGGAGGAACCTGTGAATGAGTGAAGCTTCCTTGAAGCTGTACAGGTATACTGAGCTGAGCTGTCTGCTGGTGAAGCCTTCCCATTTAGGCAGTCAGAGGCTTGCTTGGGAGTTTCTACAACACTACTCCTACCTCTGTGTAGTCACAGTGTGACTTGCAGTTAAATGCCTGTCTACCCACCCCAACTTAGGGAACCCAAAGATGCCACCACAGCCAATCAGCTGGCTCAGTGTCTGACCCTTTTTTTTTTTTTGGTACCAGAGTTCGAACTCAGGACCCTGAGCTTGCCAGGCAGGCACTTATGCCGCTGAGTTATCTCCCCAGCTGACCCTTCTTTTTTTTTTTTTTGGCAGAACTGGGGATTGAACTCAGGCCCTTGCGCTTGCCAGGGAAGCACTTATTCCACTGAGCCATCTCCCCGGCCCCCTGACCCTTCTTTCTTAAAGTTAAGATGGGGACTTTGCCCTCCGAAATATTTTCATCTCTCCAAACAGGAAAGATGAAGCTTCTTTTCCAGGATAACAATTACTTCTAACGTCTCGGGGAGTACAGACAGTTTTCCTTTCCCACAGGCCCAGAAGAAAGGCATGAGCGGGGCCCTGAGAGAGGAGGGCCACCTTGAGCATGGACCCGTTCTGGAAGACGTGCTGCTCGTCACACACCACGCAGTACTCGTTTAGCGT